AGTCAATTCAAAACATTCTGTAAATAGGCTAACTTGTATTTTTCTTGAAAACGGTAGAGAATTGCAGCTTAGAAAAAAAGCAGGTGTTACCACAATCACCTCCATCTTTTGTTTTGAGTTGGAGTCTTGCTCTGTCTCAGAGGATGGAATGCAGTGGCACGATCTTGGCTCACTGCAACCTCCACCTCCCCAGTTCAAGTGGTTCTCCTGCCTCAGCCTCCTGAGTAGCTGGGATTACAGGCCTGTGCCACCATGCCCAGCTAATTTTTTTTGGTATTTTTAGTAGAGGCGGGGTTTTACCATGTTGTCCAGGCAGGTCTCCAACTCCTGACCTCAAGTGATCCACCTGCCTCGGCCTCCTAAAATGTTGGGATTACAGGTGTCAGCCACCGCACCCAGCCAATCACCTCAATCTTGTAAGAGCGTAATCATCTTGGCCCTGTTTCACTGAAACAGATTTTTAAGAATCCTCTTCTGGTAGAGACGACTATTCTCTATCCACATGTTACAATACATATATCTGCTATAACTATTCTTTAAAATTAACCCCCAGGAAACTGATTGAATTAGCCCATTAAATGATATTAACTATTTTTATTCTCCATCTGACCACTGGAACACTGGCTCAAAATAATGAGCTTTGTTTTGGCATAGCTATTGGGTTTTTTTCCACCATAAAGATACAACACTTTCTGCTCATTCCTGACCCTTGATAGTAAATTCATGCCATTAGCAAAATCTTAATGATTTTCCTATTTGCTGTAAAAAATATTAAGTATCTATCACGCATACCTAAAAGCAATATGGGATTATTTAATCCTAAGTGGAAAAGGAAGCAGGACCATGTCAAAAGACCTATCACATTCCTTTTGATATTGAGTAAGCCATTCCTTCAGACAACAACTGCCACTCGTTCTACTCCTAAATGAGAAATCAGGACAACTTTTAAACAGCAAAAGATTTAGAATTCACGCCTAGTTCATAAGATTCTGTTTCCACTGCATCAAGAGGTGACAGATCAATAAAAGCTCTGAGAAACCTAATAATCTTGGCTTATTTTCAGAAATAAAACAATGTAAAACCGTACACTGATAAAATGAGTAACTAAAAAGTATGTTTTCTCATGCAAGAAGTTGACACGAACAGACAAAAGTTTCCATGCAATATCTAGGGAACCAACTTCTTTGCAATTTGAAGATAAAGGGTTCATGTTTCTTTCCCCTTCTGCCAAAATAAGGTACACTATACTTAGTGTCACCATAAGGGTGATTAGCCATAAAGTGGTAGATTAGAGGGTTTAGGAAAGATTGGGAGAGGGGAGGACATGTGTCATAGTATCTCAACCACCTATCTACAGTGACCAAATCAAATGATTTAATTTAAAGTGATCATATCAGATGACTTACTTGACTCATTTGATCGAATGTAGAGTGATTAAGTTTGATCTCCCCTCCCCAATTTAGAGTGATCAAAGCAAATTGGAGTAAAATATGCTGGACAGGTAAAGTTTTTAACTCTTCAGAGTCATTTTGGTGGAGAGAAATATAGAATAATCTTTTTCTCTGGAAACCTGTGAACTATAGCATTCTACAGACACTGTAGAAACTGAGGTCTGACTCATTAACCTGTGCAAGGATGGTCAATGCTTAAAAAAAAGGTGCACATAAAAATATTTGAACTTAAATTCCTCCTGAAGCCTACGTAAGACATTATTTACCTTCGCTAAGTTAGTGAAGAAGTTCTTTTGTTTTTAAATTCCTGAGAAGAGTTGTGGGAAGCCTCTTCCAGAAGGTAATTAGAAAATGTTAAATATTCTTTGGACCTGAGTCACATGCAGTTGCGTTAAAAATGTATTACTAGTGTGTGTGGTATATACACACACCAGTACCCATTAAAAAATTATTATTGTTTTAGACAGGGTCTCACTCTGTCACCCAGGCTGGAGTGCAGTGTAACAATCACGGTTCACTGCAGCCTTGAACTTTCCAGCTTAAGTGATCTTCCCACATCAGCCTCCCAGGTAGCTGGGACTATAAGCATGAGTGAAACCACATCTGCTAATTTTATTTTTTGTAGAGACAGGGTCTCACTATGTTGCCCAGACTGGTCTCGAACTCCTGGGCTCAAGTGATTCTACTGCCTCAGTTTCCCAAAGTGTTGGGATTACAGATGTGAACCACTGCACCTGGTCCATTAAAAAATTATACCAAACATACCATATATGTATACACATACTTCACATATATAAAGGAAATCTAGTAACATTTATCACCAACATATGCAAATGAAAAAGATAAGACTGAATGACTGCACATAGAAATATATTAAGTATTTTATCCCAAATTTAGTTCAAACATGATCTGGAAACACAAAAGTGAACTCAAAACCAAGGCAAGCGACAATTAATTCCATACCTAATAATCCAGTGTCTATAACATCTTCATTTTTCAAATTGTCAGCATGCAACTCTGCAAATACAAAGAGGGACTTAGGTAGGAAAGTAATATTGTAATTTGAAAAGTACCTCAAGGGCTGTGAAGGCATTGAGAAGCTGTGGAAAGTGCTCTGGAGTCACATAAAGAACTGGGTTCAAATTCTGATTCAATTTACCAACTATATGACCTTCAGCAAGCAAGTGAATGTGTTGACCACTAAGGGAGCCAACAGCCATATACTGTACATAGAATGAGAGTACTGTTTATTCCCGAAGGTAGTTGTAAACACTAAAGGGCATACTAGGCAGAGTTCAGTTCCTTTCTCCATTCTTCAAAATAAGCACGGTACAATGTCCTCTGCAATGGAATTCCACTTATCATGGTTTTGTGACTTTATGATACAAAGGCAAGGTCTCCGAGCAAAAGAGAAACAAACCACCTAGGAGACAAAACTATCAGGATTGCAAAAAGAGGTAAAAAACGGGGGAGGGGAATGATAAAGAAATGAAACATTGGCAGTCAACCATTTAAGACTGACAGTTTGCATTTTATGCACATTCACAGCTTACTATTTTATGAAGAGGTAAAACCTACATCAACTGGCCAATGTGTCTCCTGTATGAAAATCAAGCATTGTAAGGTTTCAGATGCCATGCCATCTGCAGCCCACTAAACTCTGGGAAGCAATGAAGACAAATAAAAAATGGAGTTAAATAGATTGAATTATATTTAATGAAGTACAAATATAACACTTCATTGACAATGTTTTGGGTGCTTTTCATACAAGAAAGTTCTTTTGTTTTTTTTTTTCAGTAACTTGGCAAACGTCACAAACTAGTAAGAATTGAAATTTAAACTTAACTCTGCTTCCTTCCACTGTAACATACACTAGCCAACTAAATTATACAACCGTACGCCTTGCAATAAACTTTCAACCGGCCAGTATTTCAACTTTTATTATTTTCCTCTAATAAAATTATCAGAGGAAGAGTGGACTATACTTCCTGCAACAGAACTCTGTGCACTACACCTGGACACAAACTTAAAAACTGAAAGGCTAATTATTTTACGTATAAAAGTAGAAATTTGGACTATGCGATAAAAATCTTTGTCCCTCAGGATTCTGTGTAGAGGAATTGGTGGACAGCACATCTTTATTTGTGGATGAAGGCCACTGAACATAGATAGCCTATTTTAATTATATGCACTTTTCACAGTCTCCTTTTAATGGTGGGTGTTCCGCCTTTTGTTTAATCTTGACAGTATTTCATCCCCTGTGTTTAAGGACTTGAAGATATTTCCTCAAGAGTACCCATTTAATCAAAAGATCCTTTTTAAAAATGGGTCTCCTGATCATGGATCAGGACGCTCCACTTACAAAAGGGCTGGAAAGCAAAGTAAGATGCAAATGAGGACTCTGGGTGAAAGCAGCTGCCACCCTGCGGGCTTCGGCAGCACGAAGGGAGAAGGGTGGTGGCAAGAGCCACACCCTGACTCAACTTTACTCTGGACAGACTTTCAAGGCCTCGGCTTCAATACCTTTAACGATCAAGTACGCGATGGCGAGGAGGAAGGCGAGAAGGATGGCGAAGAGCAGCGAGCAGAGAATAGAAAGGACCTGGACCGGCCACCGCCGAGGCTGGGTTCTGCTTCCCGCGGCCGCGGGAAAGATACCATTGCGCTTATCTGGCAGGACAGGCGATCCGTCCCCGTCCGGCGGGAGCAGCGAGCCCTTTCTGGGCTCTGACCACGCCCCAGCCGAGAACTCCGCCCGCAGGTCGCGGGCCACTTGGTCGCATCCCTCCTCCTCGTCGACTTCGCCTTCACCCCAACTGTCCCCCTGAGTAAAGGAGGAATATGTTGGCCCAGCCACAGGGCCCGGGGTCCCGGGACGGCGGCGCCGCAGAGCCGACCGCCACCCGCTCTCCGCTAACGACATGGCGCGAAACACAGCGAAACCCGCGGAGTACGAGCCTCTCCCACCTGCCCCGCCCCGGGTCCGCAACAGCCAATCCGCGGCCGTGGCCGCTACCACCATGCCTCAGAACCCAGGGGTAAACCACGGAGAGCAAGGTTGGGCGGCGGGTTGCAAAGGAAGTCGTAGGGCCTGAGGAGAGGTGGGATGCGCTTGGACCAGAGCTCGACCCCAGGGCTGTAGCCGGAAGGGGGAGCAGGAAAGCGCGCAGCGAGAAGTGGGCGGAGGCCGAAGGCGGCCGAGTATCCACTCCCTGCGGCGCTTCATCCCTGCCGGAGACCTCCGCCACTGCCGCGTCACCAACGGGAGCGTGAGACCCGACAGCCCCAAAGCCGCATCTTTTCGACGCCGGGTCCTAGCGCCCGCCCGCGCCTTCCGACACATTCCCGAACCTATTTGCCTTCTCCCTTCTTCCCCTCTACGCTCACACTCTTCTCCAGGTTCCCCTATTAAGAAAGGGCAGCTCTCTGCCTGGTACTCTCGCGGTGCCTTCACTGCTCACCCCATCTCCCTTTAGTGTGGTTCTCCCCACCCGTACCACAACTTCCCTCACGCTACTCGACACGCCTCCTTCCTCCTCCGCCCAGGCGCGCGCTCTCCACCTGGTGCGTACCGAGCTCGAACCCTCTCCTCGGAACCCCTCCTTTCGCCTTCCCCGCCCCCTCCCCTCCGCCTCGAGCACTGCGCGCGCGCATTCGGTCCCAGCCACCGCTAACACTAGAGGCTGCTTACCCCCGCCCCCTCCACCCTGCCCCTGGCGGCCTCAGGTTTGTGGGGCGTACGTAACTCGGGCGGGGAGGGGGAAGGTGGCAGACCCCACTGCCCCACCCCCTACGGGGTGAGGCGGTCTAAGCTCGGGAAGCTGGGACACGGTTGTCTTCCCTTCCCCTGGGGAAGTTGGTAGAGTTTTCCCGGCGGAGGACTCGGCGCAGAAACTTCCTCCGTCCTCCCCCCGCCCCATGCAGGCGACGCCGAGTGAGGCTGAGGCTGCGGGCGAATCGCCGCAGAGTTGCGTGTCGGCCGCGCATTCTGATTGGACAGCGGGGAAGCCCGTCAGCCTGTTGGCCTCGCTGATCCCGCCCCGTAGCGCAGGGCAGCCTTTAACCTTTAGCCCCAGTGGGCGCCAGCCACTCAGATCGCTGCTTGTTGGTATGTGTAGCGGCAGTGGCCGCCGGCGGAGCAGTCTGAGCCCGACGATGAGGCCGGGGACGGGAGCTGAACGTGGAGGCCTCATGGTGAGTGAAATGGAGAGCCATCCTCCCTCGCAGGGTCCTGGGGACGGGGAGCGGAGATTGTCCGGCTCAAGCCTCTGCTCCGGCTCTTGGGTCTCTGCTGACGGCTTCCTGAGGAGACGGCCCTCGGTAAGGGATCAGTGGGGCAGGGGGAAGGCGGCACAATGAAAAACGGAGTGAGAGAAACAGGAAGCTTTCTCCGAAAGGAGAAGAAGATAAGAGTGGACGAAGGAAGAACTCGAGATGGTGGGATATGTTCTGAGGGAGAGAAGTGGAGGGTGGGGATGCACAAAGAATGATGTGAGACCCTGGAAGTACCCCGTAGGCTTGGCCTAGACAGATGCGTGGTGAAGGTGCTGGCTCTTGGGCGGGGTGAGCGTCTTGGAGCTTTAGGCCCGATTTAGCTGGAAGGGGGAGGGAGGGGCTTGATTCTGTAAGACTTTAACAGCGGCTGCCAAAATTTGTTTTCATTACTTGTGGGGTCGTCTGCATGGGGAACTGTTAGAACAATTGACAGGAGATAATTAGCTGGTTTTAATTTAAAACATGGAACAATGGACTCATCGGTAAAGAAAGTAGTTGTCTTTTTAAATTGCGTTGAAAGGGATGAATTAGTTGTTTGCATTTAGTGTCCGTGAGTAACAGAACCTCAGTCTTTAAAAATGTATTTTTGGCAGAAGGAATTTTACCTGTCTTAAAGGTTATGTTAGGAAATAAGTTTGTTAGGAGTGAATTGTCCCTGGGTGGCACTACCGTTTGTGTTTTATAAGACTGACTTTCACCTGAGTTAATATGATAGAGCATTTTAAAGTTTAAAATCAGTAGTGTTATAAAATAACAATAGCTGGCTATTTTTTATATTTGCATGAAATAGAAGAATTGTTGTTTTCACTGTAACAGTTTTAAGATTAGTATTCAATATGTATCCTCCAAGCTTAGCAAGCCAGTTAGTAGCTGATTAAGTCAATGCTTAAAAAAAAGAGAAAACCTATGATCCAGCTGTCCAGTAATCATCTTAACTTTTCCCGTTTTGTTGCGGAATTTGCAAGCTCGTTTTAAATATTAGCAGAATGCATTTTATTTAAAACAAGGTATAGATTAATCCAGTGACGTTATTATGCATAAGCTTAATATTAGGTTGCTTCAGATAACTGATTTGTTGAAATGAGATTTTTGAGAAGCGTTTAGTATTATTTGCTCATTTAAAAACGTTCGTTGTTTTTCAGATGGGGCACCCTGGCATGCATTATGCCCCAATGGGAATGCACCCTATGGGTCAGAGAGCGAATATGCCTCCTGTACCTCATGGAATGATGCCACAGATGATGCCCCCTATGGGAGGGCCACCAATGGGACAAGTAAGAATGCTTTTATTTTATTTTGCATTTATTTATTTGTTTTTGCCTCAGGTATTCTGTCAAGATTTCAAAATCTAGGTCAATAGTTACAGCTGTTTAAGGATTAGTTTATGCCCGAATAATTTTAAATAAGCCAAATGTTGAATCATGACTGTAACGGAAATTTGAATGTAATGAAAAAGTCTCCTGAGAAATTTACTGATTACCTCAAGACTAAGAATTTTTTTTTTATTATTATTTAAATGTAAACTGTGCGTCCAGGCTTTTATTTTTAATGATTATTTTTTCAAGCATGCCAGTTGAAGTTAATGGTCTAAAAGTAAATATTATCTGATACAGCAACATAACTGATTTTGGTAGACCATGTAAATAAATAGAATCTGAAAATAGCAATTGTTTTGGTTTAGAGCGAATTTTATTCCTGAAATATCTTCCTCTGTGTGTGTTGGAGGAGAGTGAGGGAGGGTGGGGGGTTTGTGCTCTATAATTCTGATTCTTCATAGGACAGTGCCAGTAGGTACTTCATTTTCCACTTACACTATTTTTTTTTAATGCTTATTGCTTCTACACTCCTGCTTATGAGCTGTCCCTTCCATCTCTAGCATAAATTGTAAATGGACATTTTGTAGAAGTGATTTGGATCAAAAGGTTTTAATGCTGATTCAGTGATTTCGGTAGAACTGAGTTTCTAGAGAAGCATCCAAGAAAGGTAACAGGTTCAGTTACCATGAGTAATTTTGTGCTCCATGTTAAGTTCTATATAGATCTTTAGGTGGCTGGGTTATTTCCATTTGAGTATTTCCATAAATCATCAAAAATTTAGGCTAACAAAATATTTTGGAAGCCAATTTCATGTGATCTTTTGCTAATTAGTACTGTTTGATAATTGTTTAAGCTTTCATGGTTAAAGTTATTGGTGAAATTGCAGTGGGAAAAGGAGCTTGCTATGTGTCTGTCTCTTTTTACTTAACCTTAAGAGTAGAAGGGCTTAATGTCAAGTGATTTTCCTCTTTTTTTTTTAATTTGGAATGTTGCCCTTAATTTTGTTTAAAAAAAAAAAAACAAAAAACCTTTATTCAAAGGCACCAGCCCCAAAAGATTCTGCTTGCAGGAGTTCTTTAAATAAAAGAGCCTTTTATTCTGTGACTTTAGAATAACACAAATTTTAAAACTCTGTAGGTGATGGAGAAACAACTTTGATTCTTCTTCTGTTTCTTTCCATCTCTAAGCAGCAAGGAGCTCTTCTTGTTTTCTTGGTAGAGCTGCTCTAACTAGATAATGAGCTTTAAAAATATTTATTCTTTAAATGCTCTGGTTCTTATTTAAAATTAGTTTCTTTCCACAGAAAGATAAAATAAAACAATTTGCTACTGCCAGATGCTTCTCTCTTTTCTGGGGCCTTCTGTTTCCATTGGGCCAATCAAGGTAAGTTTTGCAAGGGATTGACCTGCTTACCCTTGCTGTAATGGTGCTATTGCACTACCAAAACCAAGATACCAGCTAGTCATATTTCTAGTAAAAAAAAAAAAAAAAAAATGCAAATTTTATTTTTTAAAAGTACTTTCATGTATCTCATTGACATAAGCTGGTCACAGTTTGCTTTATGGCCCTTTCTCTGTAGCTATATCAGTGACCATCTTTCTAGTAAGTTTACTTGGTATACATCCATTCAAATAACTGATTTTTTTTGTGTTGTTTCCTTCTACTTTTTCCTAGGCTAATAATACGCCATATGCCTTTAAGTAGACCTAATTATTTAGATGTTTAGAATTCTTCTCCCTCTGAAGGCTCCTGTTAGTATAATAAATAAATGTTTTAGTAGGAGTTATGCTCTGAAAGTCCCAAAAGAATCTCCACTGTTTTTGTAAGATTTATATAATTCCCTTTTTCTAACAAATATGGGGCCCAAATCTTGGGGAAAAAAAATTCTTATTTTAGCTTTAAAACGGACTGGGAGAGCATGGATAATTTGAATTCTCAAATCGGAAATCTTACTTGAAACTCTGTAAACATTGCTTTAAAAATTAAAGGTGATAATAAATAGCACAATTGATCTTTTTCCTGCATTATTTCTTCTGCCACTCTCAGAAGTACTCAGAAGTAGTAAGTGGTCAGAAGATAATTGAGATGAAGCAGGATGTCTGTTTGTATCATTTACAGTTGTGACAGTTGGGAGGGTTCTGCCATGCAATTTTAAAAAGTCAGTTCACAAATTCTTTAGACTTTGGGACTGAAGGTTATGAAATCCTTCATGTATTGAGTGGTTTTCATGAACATCTCATGCTGGGACTAGCTAAAGACTAAAATTGGTGGCAGTCTTACTTGCCAAATAATTGTGGTCTTTGGAATGTTACCAATATGACATGAAATTATAAAACTTGTTTGTAAAATAATATGCAGACTGGATAGCTTAAATGATGTACGGAAGCCAGGGTTCATAATTTCTCAAATGCATCAAGCTATTTAGCTTAAAGAAGTAGTGTGTTCAAATTTTTTTTTTCTTATTCATGAGATGACCTAGAGTGCCATCTCATGCATTTAGGCTGACTCTTAGTAGTAATAAATATTTGATGATTATCAAATTGAGCTTAATATTCTTTCAGGTTTATTTCAGTTTTCTATCTTGTAGATTAAATTTGCCTCTTACTCTATAGAACTTTATAGGAAAGTCATAATTTTAGAGTTATAGGATCTTATAGCTGAAAGAGACCTTACAGATTGTTTAAAGCTTTAAATAATATGTGATTTAAGATGCTTTGAGGGATCACTGGTTAAAAAAAAAACCATCATGTTAGTAAAGAAAGATAAAGAATTTTCCCTGCTGAATGACAGTACTCAAAAATTTCCCATTGGGAGACGGAGGCAGGTGCATCCCTTGAGCTCAGGAGTTGGAGACCAGCCTGGGCAACATGGTGAAACCCCGTCTCTACAAAAAATATTAAAAAATTAGCTGGGTGTGGTGGAGTGCGTCTGTCATCCCAGCTACTTGCGGGGCTGAGGCAGAAGGATTGCTTGAACCTGGGAGGTCGAGGCTGCAGTGAGCCAAGATTGCACCGTACACTCCATCCTGGGTGACAAAGTGAGACCCTATCTCAAAAAAATAAAGATTTTCTGTAGCGATTTCTATCAAAATAAAATTATGTCTGAGGCTGTCTTCTGCCTCAGTGTCCATAGTAAATAATGTTTTCATGTCTTATTCTTTTGTCTTTTCTACACAAAGGACGTGCAAGTCCTGCCATCTTTATCACAGATGATTATGCCTTTGCCCCAGAGAGTCCTGCTAGCTGGCCCTTTTTTTTCCTCCCTATTTTGAGTCTTCATTTTCCTCTATCAATGAGAAGAGTACAGTAATTGAGTTAAGGTCCCTTTCAGCTCTAACAGCCTATGATTCAGTTCAGATCATTTGATAAGAGTAGATGATATCAGATTTTATGGGAAGATATGGAAATAAAAGAACAGAAAATTCCTTTAGTACTGCCTCCCTAATTCTATTTATTCAGTACCTTTTTTTTTTTTTTTTTTTTGGTCTTGGGTCGGTAAACTGATAAATGAATAATTGCCTTTTACAAATGAGTTTGATTTTCTTGTTCTTATATTGAGTAAGGCTGGCTCTAACAGATCTTATTTTATTTCTGTTCCTGATACCACATGAGCCCAAGTCGTCACTCTCCCATGCCTAGGTTATTCAACAGGTTTTGAGTTCAGTTGGTTTTCTTCCTTCAAGGATGCCCCCCTGCCCCCACAAATTTTAGATTTTAGCGTGTGATCTCTTTGCCCTAGAATCTCCGGTGCTTTTCAGTGCCTTGTAACATAGTATCTAAATTCCACAGCTTAACTTTAAAGAACCTCCCCATAGTACATGTCAAAGCAGGATTCAAGGCTGCATGTCTTCACACTCCCTAATTTGAACTTAGGCTGGTCTTTGCAGAGTGTCTTGAGTGATTATATTAGTTCAGAACTTCAAACTTAGGCTGTTCTTACCCTCTTGCCCCCAGCTCAGTATCACTATGAACTTTACTTTGCTTACCTATGTTGTACTATTTCAAATCCTGCCTTCTCCAAAAGTTTCTCAAAAATAACTTTTGCCAACATATACCTCCCCTTCAGATTATTAAAGAAAATATATGTAATCTACCCATAACTCTTACTGTTTCATTTATTTTGGCACTTAGTTATTGACTTGTTTCATGGTGTCTTATTTGCTTTAATTTTCCAACAAGTAATAGATTGTAAGCTCTTAGAGGGCAGGGGCTACGTTCTGTACTTTTTAAGAAGCCTATAGGTGCTGAGCACAGTTCTTGGCACATCATGGGTGCTCAGTAAAATACTTGTTGAATGAATGAAACAAATACACAGGTATTCTTTCCTGCAGTATAAGCCCATTAGTCAGTTAGTGTTAAATGTGACTGTTTCCAGTGGTTACTTGTGACTTTATGTTGTTACTACTTATTCTTGTTTTTAGTGTCTGCCTCTTTACTCTTAACTTTTTCATTGACAAAAATGGAAGATAAATAAGATGAAATAAATAATTTTTGTTTGGAGAATAAAACTAAAATACTTGCATTTACAGTCGACCCTCTGTATCCAGAGATTCAAGCAACTGCAATGGAAAATAGTCTTTTAAAAGACCAACAACAAAAAAATACAAATTTTTAAAAATATAGTATAATAACTATATAGTATTTACATTGTATAAGGTATTGTAAGTAATGCAGAGGAAAAATGATAGAGTAGAATATAGGCCTTGCAGAGAAATTCAGTGTATTGGTACCTTAGACTTATCTGACTGATTTGACAAATTTATTTGTTGCTGTTCCTTCTGAATTACCCTTACTTTTGATTAGCTACAGGATCCATGCCATTGAATTGGGCATTAGCCAATGACAAAAAAGAGAGAGAATTTTTGTTTTTTAGGTCATCTGCTCATAATTCTTGAATCTGGGTACATGTGGATGACTCAGGCAAGTGCTTTTAAAAAATATCTTAAATCAGACCTAATA